TTTTGAAAAAGGAGCCGGCCCTCAGAGTTTGCTGGCTTGCCCAACGGCAGCTGCCTGCCTTGCAGGCAGGCTTTGCTTTCAGGAGACCAGGCCTGAAGGAAAGTAATGCCTGCTACCTTCTATGCCACCTTCCTAATGTGGCCATGGAGGGTCGGCTGGCAGGGCACCAGGGCATTTTGTCCTCATTCTTATTTCAAGAGGTTCGCTGTGCCATTTCAGTCTAAAACCAGTGTCTGCCGGCTGACTCGTCTTTCTCCCTGATCACTTGCCGCATATTAGCTGCTGCTTTTTCCTCCCCAGAGTTCCACTTTATTATTATCTTAAAAATATAAATGGAAGGTCAGGTATTACTTCCCAGAGTCCATAATAGGATTTGTTCTGAATGAATCTCAGAAAAAAATATTTTCAAGACTGGCTTGACATAGAACAAAAGCATCTCAAAACATTTTATTTTTCTGGTTTCTCGGAGGAAAGCAAACAGGAAAATCTCATGGTGGTGATTTGTTATTTTCTCTGTCTCCAGCCTCCCCTCACCCCAATCCCCAAACCCCCAATCCCCATCCTTGAGCCATCATTTCCCTCCACACTAGACCTTGAAAAATTCTCAGGAGGCCCTCTCTGGTCTGTGCACAGGGAGCCGTGGGCTCTGTGCTGCCATCTAGTGGCCGACCTCTGACACAGCAAGCTGCTTGCCAGAGTCTCGTTTGTACTTGGCTGTGGCGGGAGCTGTGGTTTGGCGTGCATCCTGACAGAGCTTTGTTGCCAGCCATGGAGGTTTTTTTTTCATTTTCACTCCCTATGCCCCCTTTCATTTTTGTATGTTGACACTTAATTTCATGTGTCTCCAGAGGCTACACTTTGGGTTTTGATATATTTGGTCTTTCAGAAAGGAGGCAGTTGCTGCAAACGGATGCTCTTGACAACAGGTAAATCACAGGCTGGGCGGCAGCCCCAGAGAGGGATGGACTTTGGGAGAAAGATGGAGGAGGAGGCATGCGATGCGGTTTATTCAGCTGTTTGTCCCACTTATGCACTGGCTGGGTGGGTGTTCAGAATGTTCCGGTGTTTTCTTCCAGGGCCTATGTGCCACCATTTTTGTCCCTTAGATTTGGGGAGGCTGCAACCTGAGCAGGAATCTTGGGGAAAATTTGTTTGAGGATGCTGGTCTGGCTTTCAGAGGTGCAATTGGCTGAGTTACCTGTCAGTACCCAAAATGGTACAACTTCCTTGCTACCAGGATTCAGCGAGTGTCTGCAGACCTCCCGGTGGTTGGGGACAACTCGGCTCCTTGGAGTTGTTCTCCTGTCGGAGAGCTCACGTCGCACTGGTGGGACCACCAAGAAGCTACTGAACTCCCCTGGGGCCTCAGGGGCTGACACCGCTTTATTCTGGTCGGGACCCCGAATGCCTGGGAAGTACGAACATGTAGCTTTTAGATGTATAACATGCCTCTGGAATCAGACACACATCTGCTTGTGTGACCCTGGGCAAGTTTCTTAACCCTATGCCCCCTCTGTGAAATGGGACGATGAGGAATTTTTTGTGAAATAGTGCCTGTAATGTTCTTAGCCCAGAGCCTGCTATACAAACATGTTTAGTAGGTGTGCACCAGTGTCAGAAAATGTTTCTTGAGTGACAAAGTGAACAGAATGAGTTGTGACCTTGAATTAGAGCGGAGGACACTTGGTTCCCAGGGTGGGGGTGGGGGGTGAGGGCACCGATGGAGACAGGCAAGTGAAGGGGCTTCGTGTAGGCCACTGCTCGCGGGAGCAAGCGCTTGACAAACCCGTGTTTTCGTCTTTTCAGGCACAGTGCAGTGAGTGGCCTTAATTAACCTGTGCTTGGATTTACTCTGTTGCTGCTGGACCCAGTTAAGGGGGTGGAGGAGTCAGCCTCTCGCCAGTGGCCCTCTGTAGTTTGTCTTCTTCTCTCTGAGAGCCCGGGATTCTAAGCATGTGCTCCTTGTCCACACCAACCAGACACCAGGGAAATGATCAGACGTAGCAGCTCTGGGCCACCGTGGCCGGTGGTAGAAAATAAAGAAAACTCCAAGTGTTATTAGAAGGGAGAGAGAAAACCCCCCACTAACCTACAGCTAAGGTCTAGGTTTGTTCCCTGTGTGTGTGTGTGTGCAAAAAAAAAAACAACCAAAAAACCCATATGCGAATCTATAAACCATCTGGTTGGAATAACTTTTGTGCTGGACTGTAATTATAAGCTATTTATTATGAATCTTGGGATCCCGTTATGGATCTTGACTGGTGCCCAGGTTTCAGATTTAGCAAAGAGTTGCTATATGTAAGAGAGCGTCTTCCTTCCTGTTTATCAAACCCCAAACTTCACACCCACTCAGGCTGCCCTTGGGGCTCGACATTCCCTGCACCTGAGTCTGCCCTTCAGCGAGGAGATGCACTTGGGGCGGCGGTGGTCCTTCCCTAAGCTGTAGCCAGGTTTGCTACAGGGGGGAGGCAGGGGGGGCAGATGCTCTGCTCGGGAAGGTGTTCACCTCACAGGTGCCTTGCGGTGGAGGGAGCTGGTGTCAAGCAATGGCTGCAGGAAGCGTGCTTTGCAAAGCAAAGCCACTGTTCATGGTGCCAAGCAGCACACACACCCGATCGTTGTTCCGATTCCTTTGATGGTGGCAGAAGGGCACTGTGAAGTTTTTACATCTGCCTGTTTAGTTGGCATTGTGACTGTAGCTATGTATTACATTTGTAATGTAAGAACTCTGAAGACGAACCGAAGGGCTGTGACTCACAGTGTCGTCACGCCCCCATCCTTACGAAGAAGAGAGGGCAAAGCTGGCCGCTTTGGAGGCTCAGAGGCAGGGTGCCTGGGTTCAGAGTGCAGCTCAGCTGTCCTCCAAGGGGCCGTGGGCATCCCAAGCCCATCTCGGCCTCACTGGCCCTAGGAATGCTCCCTGCAGAGCCGTGGCTGTCAGCCCTGCCTGCCCACTGGAATCACCTGGGGTGCCTGGAGAAAACGCCTGGGCCTGGGCCTTGGGAAACTGGGGTCTGAGCTTCGGGGGCTGGGAGGCAGTGCCAGGCTCCGCCAAGAATTAGGTGGGGCTCTGATTCGTCTCCTAGTGTGACGACCATCGCCTAATGGGATTTTAAGGAATTAATGAGATTAGTCCCCATGAGGGCCCTTAACACCTTATAGACTCCCAAAAAGGGGAAAGAGAGGACACTGGGTTACTTGGGTCAACCACCAAAAAGCATACACTGAGGACTAATAAGTAAAAACCCGAAAGGTCTGCATGACCAGTCTGTGAGAACCGGTATAGGTAGCTGGGCACCGACGCCCTCTCTGGGTGGCCAGGCAGGTCCTGGGACGGCCTCACCAGTGTACTTACCACACTGGCCTCAGGGGCCCTTGCCTGAGATGATGGTCCTGCCCTATGTGTGTCATCCAGTGGAAGAGTTTGAGGGATGCTATTCCCATGGTGGGCACATTATTTCCATGCCTCCGGGGCTTTGCAAAGCCAAGAAGCTGCGAAAATAACAAGAGCTTTTGGGACAGTGAGGCCCAATGCTCCGTATACCTCATTCTGGGGGAGTGGTAATGGGGGGGGTTTAGAGGGAGTGGGGTCTGGAATGCTCCACAGGACCATCACTTGAAAGGGGAGGTGCCGATCTGGATTCATTATAGAATGAGACCCTGGGTACACCTTGGGGGGTGGCAGGACTTTGAAATGTGAGGGCAGCGTAGAAACTGATGAATTTGATCTTAGAATGGCGTCAGGGCTGGAACATGCTGTAGGGGCTTGGCTTGGACCCTCAGCCCCCAACACGCATACACGCATGCATGCACACAACTCTTTTTGGTTTGGGACCAGCAATGATGCTGAAGCAGACTGGGCACACTTGTGGCTCTCCCAAGGTCACTGTCAGAGCTGAGGTAGAATTTCTCCTGCCCATATTCCTGAAAGGTTCTAGGTTCACCTCAGTGTCAGAGGAGGAGGTCGGTCCCTCCTCTCTGATCTGCCCCCAGTCAGGCAAGGAATGTGCCAGAACCAGCAGCCTGAGCTCAGAGCGGGGCCTAGGCCACGCACATGTGTGAGTTCAGCTGGAAATCTGTCTCCTGCCACGAAGCTGTGTAATCTTGGAAAAGCCCTAGACCTTCTCTGAACAGCAAACTTCTTGTTTGTAAACAGGGGACAGTGATGATAGTCACTTCACAGGATTTGAGTAAGAATGGAAGCCGTTAGCACCTAGCATTTAATAGACCCTTCTTAACAAAGCTCGAATTTCCTTGAAGGTCTGAGACAGGGTGACTTTTGTTCCTGTGCATTCCCTCCACAGACAGGAGAAGTTCTGTTTGGGTCTTCTCTAAGGCATTGTATCAGCTAACCTTTCCAGATAAAAACAAAGATGCAAATACTCACCCTACTCTCATAAGCATATGGCTAATGGAACGCAACCGCCCTGGGCAATGCAACACTGAGGGCTGTGTCTCTGCTTAGCGTGGGGAATATTTTTTTTTCTCTTACTGAGTCGATTCAATCCTCAACTTTGTCATTATTTGAGTTGGAACTTTAGATTGCTGCATTTTAATGCACTCGACTATTAAGGATTGTTGGACGGCAGTGTGCAAATATTTTTGTTCTCATGATGCAGTCCTGGCCCAGGTAGCCCAATGGGCAAAACATGCTTTACGCAAATATTATGGTTTCTATGGCGCATACTAAAAGGAAATCCTGGAACAGAGCGGGAGAAAGCACCCTCCCCCTCAGTGTTTGGTTATCTAGGTCAGGTTGGCTTGTAAAAAAAGGAACTTTTTATCCCTTCTTGTCTGCCCTTAATCTAAGAAAGTGCTGTGTTTCTGGATGGGTATTTCTGCTCCAGTGGGAACAAAATGCTTTTGCTGTCATAGAACTTCTGTGCCAAGACGAAGGCCAGATAGGGAGAGGGGGGCTGGGCAAGCCTCGGCCGTGTACTGGGAGCCTGGGGCTTCCATTCGAAGCTGGTTTCATGTGTCTCTTGTCTCTTTTTGCCCAGAACAAGGAGGTGACCTGTAAGAGGGAGAAGTGCCCTGTGCTGTCGAGAGACTGTGCCCTGGCCATCAAGCAGCGGGGAGCCTGCTGTGAGCGGTGCAAAGGTGACCAATGTCTGGGGGGCCTGCATTTTTGGCTGTTGCTACAGACATTTCAACTTTTGTTTCTCTCACCCTTTCTGTCCACTCAGCCTTCAGCTGGGTGCAAACGGGGCCTGGGAGGGAATGGTGTGTGTGCATGTGTGTGTGTGTGTGTGTGTTGGGGTGGATCAGGGGACTCTGCTAGCGGAAGTCTGTAAGTAAGGTGAGCATCTGCCTAGTGGGCTTGTTTTCTAAGGCACGTTGTTAAAATCGCACGGAGGAACGTGATGCCCTGGCACACTGGCACAAACACACGCAGGCATTTTTTTGCAAGAAAGTTTCAACACTCCGTTCTCCCCAGCCCACCCCCTCGCCCTGCCCACCTCAGCCAGAGTCTTGAAGCCCAAATTTTATCATTTTGGTCCCCATTAAAGTTTCTCTTTCCTTCCAAATGTACGTTGTTTGTCTTTGGAGCATCTCTAAAGAAGTCTTCCTCCCACCTCGTCTCCTTTCCCGCGGCCTGCAGCGCATGCGTCTCTTGGACGCCCTGTTCCCAGTCTCATTTGGGACTCTGCTCAGGTCTTTCCGCCAGCTGGCCCCAGTGCTGCCTGTGCTGCATCCCCCAGGCCTCAGGCGTCACTTTCCCCTTTAGACTCCCATGGCAGAGGGAGGTTTACACGCGTGCTTCAGTGGTGTGTCACCTGCTCTGGGAGGGCAGGGTCCAGGTCACGCTCTGGGAACGCCTGGCCTGTGTTAGTGTGCGTGGAAACAGTGCCCCACAGAGTGGGGCCCTTGAGAGGCACGTGAGCGCGTGGTTTTGGGCATGGACCCTGGAGCCACACTTCTGACTCCTAATGTGACAGTCCTGGGTTGCAGAGTGCTCCCCGGAAGGTCGTGTCCACTGGGAACCAGAGCGTGACCTGATTCGGAAATGGCATCTTCGGAGATGTAGTTAGTTAAGATAACATCCTAGTGAATTAGGGCAGCCCCGGAGCCAATGTGACTGCTGTTTTTACTCAGAAGAAGACAGGCAGATGTAGATACACGAGAAGGTGGCCATGTAACTGGAGAAGCAACATAAACATCTGGACTCTATTCCCCGGGAGTCAGACTCACTGGTTCGGGGACAGTTGAGCCCTCCATCTTTTTAAAAAGCTCCCAGGAGATTTAATGTGTAGCCTGGGGCTGGGGGTGGGACTCCAAAAGAGTTCTCCACCTAGTACCAGGAGATTTCTGCCCCCACAGAAGAATATGCATGTCTGGGGGAGTAAGACCGGGGAAACTAAAAAAATAAACACATCAGAAAAAGCTCTTATAAAAACCAGGTAAACAAACAAAAGCCCCTTTTTTGTGTGTGTGTGACAACCCGTGAGTTTCTATATCCTGTGAAGGCCCTGCAAACTTTTCAAAACACACTATTATACAAAATCTGCATGTCCAGTATGAAGACCAAATTGTTAATGATTATAGTTATTGTGAACTATAATATTTTTTTGCTCACCCCCCCCATCCCCAAATGAGCAAATAAGCAAGCAAAACACAAGGGAGGCAGCGTTGGGCATTGTGCTCCCACAAGCCAAGGAGAGACTGGTGGTACTAGGGACCAGGTGAAGGCGAGAGGGATCTTCCCCCGAACCTCAGTGGAGCATGGCTGCGCAGACACCTTGGCTTTGGACTTACAGGCTCCAGAAGTGCGAGACAATCAATTTCTGCTGTCCTGGGCCCCCACGCTTGTGGTCGTTGGTTGCAGCAGCCACGGCGCACTGATACCCCCTCTGTTCCCTTGGGCAGGTGGAGATGCAGAAGCTCTCTCTACCCCAGTTCCCTCACCTGTAACGTGAGGACAGTAATTGTGGGAGGAACTACACAGGGAGATACTGTTGAAGTGTTTATTTAGCGCAGTGCCTTGCGTGTGAACGTTTCTCAATTAGTACAAGTATAGTAGGTGCTTTTAAAATAGTTGACAGACTTAACTATAAAAACACATTTTCTGAAGCCTTTTGGAGCAGGGTTTTTCTTTGACCCTTTGCTCTCCTCCTATTTTGATTTTTTTTATTATTAGAATATAAGAAATACGGTAACAAAGATAATGGCCAAAAAAATGGAACTCAAATGTTAAAGGGCTGGTGAATGCTCATCAAAACTCTTTCAATTTTGTAGATAAATGGAGTGAGGGGACTTGAACCAAGGACTGGCTGACCTCCTCCAGTCACTTGTTGGGACTTTGACTTTGTTCTTTTTTCCTTCCAATGTCTCTCTCTCCCTTATTCCCTTCCTTAGTATATTTTTTCTGCTTTTATCTTTAGTTAGAGAATGACTACATTAATATAGTATCATACTAAAAATTTAAACAATACAGGGGAAAAGAGTATTTTCTGAGCTACAAAACTCCTCTTTGAAACAATGAATATTGTCAATTTTCTGTGTCTTTCACAGACCTCCTTTCTGTGTGTGTTTCAGATACACACACAAGCACATCATTTTGTTTGTGTGGTTTTATTTTTGCACAGAAGGAATGAAATTGTACAGATTCTGTAACAGTTAAAAAAACATCTCAACAATAACATGACTTAGAGATTTTCCCATGTCACTTCAGGCTGTTTGGATTCCAGAACACAGATGTGCAACAATTCAATTACCATCTTACTGACAGAGGTTTGGATGTTCAGCATCTTGCCAAGTTGCAGGGACCCCGCTTGCCATCCCTGTTGTGGCCATGGGGGTCCATCTCTCCAGGGCAGAGACCTGGGTATCAAAGTGCTGTAGGAAGAGGCGTGTGCTGATTACCTTGTAGTAGATGATACTCAGTGGCTGCTAGAAATGGCAAGGCGCTGGGCTTCTTTCCCATTCCTTAGGAGTTTTCTTCCCCAAAAGAAGATAGCCTAGAAGAGGGAGAGCTGGTATTACACATGATGACATGTAGACAAGTTGGCTGATTTTTCTTCAAAAACCTGCCCATTGCCGGTGCGCTGCTCACGCAGCCAGTTCCTCATCTCCAGCTGTTGTGTACACGCTTCCCTCCCAACTCTTGCCTGTTCTGGATATTTTTCCCCTCTTTTCCTGTGGTTCAGTAGGAGATGGAATCACGCTCTTCATAAAGAATGTAGCTGAGGCCATGAACTGCTTTAATGTTTTTCAGTGACATATGGAAATCCCTGACAGCTGTCAGTAAGACTTAATTATTTTTGCAAAATTTAGCCCAATGCTGAAGAACTACAATTACAGAACCAATTCAATGTTGAACATAGGCTGGGTGGAGAAAAGAGGAAGTGATTTTCTTGCTTTTTAGTTCAGTGTGAAAAACCATTGCCATCCTCTTCAGCATCCTAATTACCAAACATATAACACATTTGAGGCATTTGAAGGCTCTCAGAGGTTATTACTTTTTGTTTGTTTGTTTGGATATTTTCAATGTGGGGAAAGCATACAGAAAAGAAGGCATATTATTAGCTTATTCTTTCTTGGACAGTCTACTAAGAAATTTGGACCATTTAAAATTTCCATTATTAGCTGGTATGGCTCAGTGGATTGAGTGCCAGCCTATGAACCAAAAGATTGCCAGTTCGATTCCCAGTCAGGGCACATGCCTGGGTTGCAGGCCAGGTCCCTAGTTGGGGGCACTGGAGAGGCAACCACACACTGATGTTTCTCTCCCTCTCTTTATCTTTCCCATCCCCTCTCTAAAAATAAACAAAATCTTAAAAAAATAGAATAAAATTCCCATTATTATGCTGTGTTTATATTTTGTTCTGTGTACTACTATGTATTGGGGCCACTTCCGTTATGGGTGTTAATAGTTTATTTATGATTATTGGAGCCTGATTTCATTTCCTTAAACCATTACAGAAGTTCATGTTCATTGTATCTCGGTATTTGACCACAGCCATTTTTCCTGGGTTTTTCCCTTGGGTCGCTCCATTCTTTGTTTGAGGCATGGCTGCGGGTCAGGAATGCAGCTCCTGAGTGAGGGCGCTGTGCTCGTGAAAGCCCCAGGCCCAGTGGGTTGTGAGGTGTGAATTACCTGGTTGATTTTAAGACCTTTACCCGACCTGCTATCTTCACAGAGTCCGAAGGGACTTGTTTCCCTCCCACCATGCTGGGGACTGGGTGAGTATGATTGTGCTCATCGCTGAGTGCTCACCGCAACAGGTGCTTTCTATTTTTCTCATTTTACATGTGAAGAAACCAAGGGCCCAAAGAAGTTAAATTATCAACCCAAAGATCAACCAAAAGTGTCTGTGTCTTCAAGGGGATCGCTGTACTGGAGGGGACAGAGCAATGCCTTTTGGTGGGGGTGGGGGCCATTCTCCAGGGGAGGGGGACAAGGGAAGGAGGACAACTTGTGGGATAAGGGCTGGGAGTGTTCTGGGAAGCTGTTCACTTTCCTGAACAACAAGGACTTAATCACCTCCAAAGAGGGCTGTTCGGAGCAGGGCTGGGGGAGGGGACCTGAGTGCACACAAAGGCATGAAATAGTTCTTAGGCATCGCCTGCCACTTAAAATCACCTAGGGAACTTGTTAAAATATCAGTTCCTGGGCTTCCCTCCAGATCTATTGAATTAAAACAAATCTGGAAGGAGTTTTTGTTTGTAAGTTGTTGATCATTGCAGGGAGGGTAGAGGGGTCAGACAAAAACGTAACAGAATTCTATCATGATTTCTACTTCTTTTCCTCTGAAAGAGATGTTGATATTAAAAAGACAAATCTGTTTGAGGACAGAAATATGAAAACTCATTTTTCCAAAAGGATTCTTAAGGTTGTGTGTGTGTGTTTATGTACTTGTGTTCCCGTTTGCTTCAGATTGTTCCTGTGATTCATTTGTTCCTTCATTCATTCACTGAGCAAGTATTTGCCAACCCACATGCCTGGTATTTATGGCCTGGCATGGCTTACCAGTTGTTCTTAGCTTTTAGGAAGCCAAAATATTCCTTAAAAACAAAGTAAGTAAATTATAACTACCTTTTCTCAAGCACCTGTTTTAGTGTGTTTTTCAGATTATTTCATGCCAATAATGGTTACAAAT